TTTTTTTTTTTTTTTACTTGTTTAAAGACCTCGACTGCTCTTCGGTCCATAAACAGTCAATAAAGAACTTTACCAATATCAGTAGCCATCTTGACCTCACACTTGGTCAATAACCCATATGTACTGTTTTAAGTTGTTTTATTTTTGGTAGTAATGACTTCCCTTGCAAAAAACGGAAACAATATTCTGTCACTTTATTCGTCTTTGACATCCATTCCTTATCCGTGATTCCACTCCTTGAGTTGCAGACGCTGTTGTAAAGGACGTTTAAGCAAAATGAGTGTTTCTACCAGCTTATGTTTTAGCTGGATATTTGTCTCATTCAGTAAAATATATATTGTGTTCGAAGTTATGATACTTCATCTTCAGAATGGTAATGAAAAATGTTTACAATTTCCGTAATGGGAGGTCGCTTAGACTGTACACTACGCGTAGGATCGTGTATAATAGTTATTGTGGAGTGTACCCATAAAACTGCAGCGACAAACAACACTGGACGACCAGATGTTCACAAAAAATCATAAAAGTGAGAAGGAACAGATGCACGTCTTTTGGCTTTGATGGTGCAAACAAAATCACTCAGGCCACTGAGTATATTACGAACTCACAACTCGGACCATCTCCCAGTTGGCTTGACAGCTCAGTTGGTAGAGAACTGCACCGATATCGCAGCTCTAGGGCATGGGTTCGAATCCTGTTCAATCCTGAATTTTTTCAGGCTTTAATCTCACAGCTGGGCCATTTTACGCCACTGAAAATGTAATAAACTTGTTCGGAAAATTAAAAACTCATTGTGGCAATAAATCGCCAACGGTTCTTCGACACGCGCATACCTAACCCAAGGCGGGTACTTCCCGAAAATTTTCGTGGGAATGTGCAACTTGGTTTCTTAAAAACCTTTTTACCCTAATGTGAGGAAGAGCGTCATAGACCACTACTCATTTTCACAGTCGACGACTAATTCACTAGTCTGTCGTGCACCTAAGCAGTCTTGTTTCGCTAAGAAACCTTTGGTCATTCTCGTCCCCAGTGTAACTCGATTTAAAAATGTCGTTTCGAGTAGCCGACCACCGGAGATCTGGAGACGAAAATGCGCTTGGAAGGTACAACGAGATCGCGTGACAAGTTACATAACGAATTTCCTATTGTATTAAACAGCGTAGTATGTTTTGCAGCAATGAAATTTAAGGAGAGTACTTGACATTGAATTCTCTGTATTTGAGCTATGTTCTTCCTTTTATAACATCAGCTAGATTTCAGAACCGCGAAAGGATCCACTCTTCCAGGTAAATGTTCCTGGAGAGAGATAACTAATCAGGTTCAAACAGATTTGCATACAGTGGAATCTCGAAACCTTCCAGATAACTCAAACTAAAGTCATTTTCCTTGTCTCAGTAAACACTTGAATTTTAGCCCTGTTTTCTCAAGCTGCGCAAGTTTTTCAAACCAATTTTCGTTTCCCTTGGGGGTTCCAAAAGTCAAGGTTCCACTGGATATAAATGAAAATGTAAATACTGATTTTGTTGTTACTATCGTAGGTGAACACTGGGGAGAAAATAATATCGCTTCAATTCTCGGTTTGCAACCTAACTTGCTCCAATCTTTTAGCCGACATTTTGAACCTCTTCGCCTCAGATATATTTTATCTGACGAAAGATCAAGGAAATATGGAAATGGTGCTTGAAGAAAAACGACGAACAGACGGTGTTTGATTGCATTTCCAAACACCGAAAAGACAGTTGAAAACACGACGCGTAGCGGAGTATCTTTGACGATTTTCGAAGCATTTGGAAATGTGGTCGAACACTGTCTTTAATGTTTAATGTATATTCTTAATCGAAATTATAACTAAGAAGAAAACGGAGAAATAAAGTTGTAAAAATCTATTCTAATTAGCTCAGATTATCCAAACACCGTCACGGTCACGTTCCCGTTGTTTGAACTTGGTGAATCATTAATGAATCTAAGAAATCTCGTGCCTGTTTTAAGGCACGTGCCAGTGACCACCAAACAGACACCTTGATAAACAATTTAAAATTTGCTACTTATGAAGAGTGAAGGTCGCGTATATGACCTGTTTTAGGCAATTAATAAACCGTTGGAGCCTGTCGCGCAAAAAATATGAATATTAAGAAAATGAAAACACTGGCCTGGCCCCTCAGACGGCAAGCTGTCTCATTTCCTACCGTTTAATGATTTTTACAATTACAATGTTCCCGTTTAGTGAGGCAATTCCTAGACGGTCGATGATGAGACTGCATATAAAGGCGAATAATATAAACATATTTTACGTACAGTCTGTTAGGTCAGCCAACATCACACACCCGTCTAGAGAGGAAACATTGCATAATTCAATTCATTGCTTACATATTTCTAAGTGTGCACAAGTCGCATGCCTGAGTGTACTGAATAATATGACCTTGAACTTCAGTCTCATGGCGGTGCTCCCCCCGGCGTCCTCGACGTTAACTCTGGCATGTACGATTTCAACACCAACGTCATGGTGGTGTTCTTTGCTGAACAGATTAAAATTTGCATAGATGCTTTGCTTTTGTCCATATTTTTCTCCTTTCCTACACGAAATTAGTTCCCCAGCTCAGAGCGATGTTAAAGGCATTGTCAAATGCTTTCGTTGATGATCTTATCGAAAATGATGAAATATTAGCTAAAAACATATCGAACTCAGGACTAGTGCAAAAAATCATACCCCATATGAGACCAAAATGGCCAAAATCGATACCCTATTTCTGACCAAAACGGCCGCACGTCCTATATAGCCCATATAAGGGAGTAGCCCCCTTCACCCGGGAGGGGATTGGGCGATATTAACGGTATCTATAGGAACGAAGTAAGATCATTAAAAGTGCAACGGCATTTTTGCGTCTACATGCATCAAGTCACGATTTTTTACCTGTCAGTCAATAAAACCCTTATAAAAACCGTTGCAAACCTTGCCACTCAAACACAAAATGTATTTCTCAGTCACAAGAGGGGCTTGTAGGTACGTTTGGGAACTATTAATTCAGTGGTATAATCTTACATTGTGGATCAAAGTTGTCTTACCCGTTAGGAAAAGGAAAAAGCTTTGATACAACAGTAAGTACTAAATTAAAAACTTTTCTTCTCGAAATCTTTAGATCCTTTTAGTGACTTCTTAAAATTTGCATGTATGTATTTTTAGAATTTTTTTTTTGCTTTACGATTTTTATTTGATAATTCAGTTATCTAGTAGGTCCTAGTGCATCTACGAGTGCGCTTCCTTGATAAAAATTGTTCTAATTACACTAAAAATAAGATTATGATACCGTTGTAGAAATCGAATTATCTAGCGGTGATGAAAAACAGGCACTTAGTACTTTGAAAGCTTTTTTTTTTTTTTTTTTCATTTTTTTTTTCTTCTACTTAAGTGTGAAGTAACGCAATTCCTATATTTGCATTACGCGCCACATTAGAATCCAAAGCTAAAGTCGTCAGTTCGGATACAGTATCTTCGGCTGGAAGAATTAAATATACCCTTTTAACCTAAAGAGATTAGAATTAGAGTCATAAGATAAACGATCGTTGCAAATTCACCATGACCGATGATTCAATTCTAACTAAACCACAGCCTTGGAAAAGCGTGACAGTTTTCATAGGTACGCATGTCGTGCAAAGTCAACATAACACAAGGTCAACATTACTCGACAGCCCTCTTGACAGTTGTCCGTTACTCGCACAGCAATGAAAATGAACGGACAGGTTAAAGACTCTAGGCCGACTTCTACAACGTCCAGGGTGAAAAGAGTTTCGTTTGCGGATTTTGTTGGCCTAAAACTTGAGTTTGTGAGAACCATTACTCCCTCCAGCAGCGAAGACAACTTATGTACACTAGAGGACGCGTTATGGAAAACCAACTGTGACGACACTGAGGCACCAAAGAAGCGGGTAAAATGTCTGTACCCGTGTTTCGTTCAACCTTCAGAATCAACAGACAGTTTCATGAAGAGGGTTTACAGCCAGAATGTGTGCCTCGAGTACATCGTGTGCAATAACTTAGTTATCACCGGACTTATTCGGGTGACAAATTTATCTTACATGAAAGAGGTGACTGTCAGATTTACACTTAATGGATGGGAGACGTATCAAGACGTTTGGGCGGATTTCATGTCCACTTGTTTGGATGGCAGAACAGAAACGTTTAGTTTTCGTATCTCAATACCTCATGACTTTGAAGTAAATCGGTATATGGAGTTCGCAATTCGCTATCGCGCCTCAGACAATGAGTTTTGGGATAATAATGGCCGTAACAATTACCAAGTTCGGTGTTCAGAAAGGCTCCTTTTACAAACGGAATAAAACGATAAAACGAGATTGCTTCTATGCAACAGAGCGACCATGGCTGGCATGTGCTTTTCGAGCCGGCCTTTCTGATTTATCCGAGAAAAGCAGGTTGACTAGAAATGTTTCTTAGACATTGTTTATGAACACTTCCCTTAAAAAAATTAGTTGTACCAATATAACAATCTAAACATTTCCCCTTGAGAACTACAAAGTGTGTATCCTCCGACAAATTTCGTTGAGTCTTAGCCCTTTGCATAGACAGACAATTGTTATTTCTGTAAAGCAAGAAGGCTTCCGGTCTTTGTTATTTACATTATCTCTGTAAAAACGTGCACGATATCATGGTCATACATATTTCTCCAACGTCTTCATTATTTAGTTTGTCACACTGATCTTGATATTTTTCACTTGGTCGGAAAATACATTAGTCACAGTTTGAAAACCGTATCATACGTAACTTGAAATGCTATGCAAAATACATACTTAAGAAAACAAGTCAACATCAAGACATTCGCCTTTGTATTCAGGAAATAATTTTGCAATAATAAATTAGCAAGAAGTCAACAGTCAGTCAACCATGTTGTAAACGGTTAGTTTATCTCACTGTGATGTAGACTGAGTCGGTCAAAATTAAAAATAATGTAGATTGTATTTCTTTATGTTGTATTCCGTAGGAAATGCTGAAATATTTATGTTCATGTCATCTATGGTCATGTCATGTATTTTAGGCAACTGCAATTGCTAAAACAACTGCCACTGACTAAACATCTACAACACACACTGGCTGTACAACATCAGGTATAAACTCGACTACTGCTAACCACTGCTAGAGGGTTTAGAATTAGTTGTATATATGGATGTATAAGCATTAATAGAGTTAAAGAGGGTGGAATAAGTAGTGACAGTTGAAGACAGTTATCAAGTTAATGATATTGGTTATGCTTTTAAGAGATGAGAGAGCAGCTAGAGTTTCTGTTAGTAAAATAGTTAATCTAAAAATTATGAATTAAACCATAAGAAGTGATGTCAAATACATTTCTAAGGTAATGTAGAAGTGAACTTACAAAAGACAGTACTTAAAGTTCGGGTGATTGAGTTAAGTTCAGAAAATTTAGTTACAGTTGAATTGTAGGAGATGGACTAAGCAGTGCTGTAATTAGCCACAGTTGTAAAGAAAAACATGGAGTAAGTGGTGGCGTATGTAGTCACAGTTGTAGAGTAAGAGATGGTGTAAGTGGTGGTGTAATTACTCACAGTGGTAGAGTAAAGGATGGTGTAAATAGTGTTGTAATCACACACAGTTGTGGATTAAGAGGTGGTGTAAGTGGTTAAGTAATTAGTCAAAGTTGCAGAGTAAGAAGGTGGAGTAAGTGGTGATGTAATAAGTCACGGTTGTAGATTAAGAGCTCCAGTAAGTGGTGGTTTAATTAGTCACAGTTGTAGAGTTAGAGATGGTGTAAGTTGCTGTGTAATTAGTGACAGTTGTAGAGTAAGAGATGGTGTAAGTGGTAGTGTAATTGGTCACAGTTGTAGAAGAAGAGATGGTGTAAGCGGTAATGTAATTAGTGACAGTTGTAGAATAAGAGATGGTGTAAGTGCTAGTGTAATTACACACAGTTGTAGAGTAAGAGCTAGATTAAGTGGTGGTGTAATAAGTCACAGTTTTAGAGTAAGGCACAGTGTAAGTGCTAGTGTAATTAGTCAGAGTTGTAGAGGAAGAGAGAGAGTAAGTGGTAGTGTAATGAATGACAGTTGGAGAGTAAAAGATGTTGTAAGTGGTGGTATAATAAGTCAGAGTTGTAGATTAAGAGCTGGAGTAAGTGCTGATGTAATAAGACAGAGTGGTAGAATCTGAGATGGAGTAACTGGTACTGTAATTAGTCACAGATGTAAAAGTAAGAGATAGTGTAAGTGGTGGTGTAATTGGTCACAGTTTTAGAGTAAGAGGTGGAGTAAATGGCGGTGTAATTACTCACAGTGGTAGAGTAAGAGATGGTGTGAGTGGTGATGTAATTGGTCACAGTTGTAGAGAAAGAGATGGTGTAAGTGGTGATGTAATTAGTCACAGTGGTAGAGTAAGAGATGGTGTAAGTGGTGATGTAATTGGTCACAGTTGTAGAGTAAGGGGTGGAGTAAAGGGTGGAGTAATGAGTCACAGTTGTAGAGTAAGAGATGGTGTAAGTGGTGATGTAATAAGTCACAGTTGTAGATTAATAGCTGGAGTAAGTAGAAGTGTAATGACTCACAGTTTTAGTGTAAGAGATGGTACAAGTAGTGGTGTAATTGGTCATAGTTATAGAGTAAGAGGTGGAGTAAAAGGTTGAGTAATAAGTCACAGTTGTAGAGTAAGAGATGGTGAAAGAGGGGTTGAATTGACCAAAATTGTTGAGAACGAGATCGAGTAAGTGGTGGTGTAATTGGTCACAGTTGTAGAGTAAGAGGCGGAGTAAAGGGTGGAGTAATGAGTCAGTTGTAGAGTAAGAGATGGTGAAAGAGGGGTTGAATTGACCAAAATTGTTGAGAAAGAGATCGAGTAAGTGGTGGTGTAATTGGTCACAGTTGACGAGTAAGAGATGGTGTAAGTGGTACTGTAATTAGTGACAGTTGTAGAGTAAGAGAAGGTGTAAGTGGTGGTGTAACTGGTCACACTGGTAGAGAAAGAGATGGTGTAAACGGTGGTGTAATAATTCACAGTTGTAGATTAAGAGCTGGAGTAAACAGTAGTGTAATAAGTCAAAGTTGTGGAGTTAGAGAAGGTGTAAGTGGTCGTTTAATTGGTCACAGTGGCAGAGGAAGAGATGGTTTAGGTAGTGGTGCAGTAAGTCACAGTTGTAGAGTAAGAGATGGTGAAAGAGGGGTTGAATTGACCAAAATTGTTGAGAAAGAGATTGAGTAAGTGGTGGTGTAATTGGTCACAGTGGTAGAGGAAGACATCGAGTAAGTGGTGGTGTAATTTGTCATAGTTGTAAAGGAAGAGATGGTGTAAGTGGTGGTATAATAAGTCACAGTTGTAGATTAAGAGCTGCAGTAAGTAGTAGTGTAATAAGTCACAGTTGTTAATTAAAAGGTGGTGTAATTGGTCACAGTTGTGGAGTAACAGATGGAGTGAGTAGTGGTGTAATTAGTCACAGTTGTAGAGTAAGAAATGGTGTAAGTGGTGGTGTAATTGGTGACAGTTGTAGAATATGAGGGGGAGTAAGTGGTGGTGCAATTAGTCACTGTTATAGAGTAAGAGATGGAGTAAGTGGTGGCACAACTAGTCACAGTTGTAGAGTAAGAGAGGGTGTAAGTGGTGGTGTAATCTATTACAGTGGCAGAGAAAGAGATGGTGTAAGTGGTGGTGTAATAATTCACAGTTGTAGATTAAGAGCTGGAGTAAGTAATAGTGTAATAGGTCACAGCTGTAGTGTAAGAGATGGTGTAAGTGGTGCTGTAATAAGTCACAGTTGTAAATTAAGAGCTAGAGTAAGTAGTAATGTAATAAGTCACTGCCAGTTGTACAGTAAGAGATGGTGTCAGTGGTTCCTTGATTGATCACTGTGGTAGAGAAAGCGATGGTGTAAGTGGTGGTGTAATTGGTCAGAGTGCTGGACGAAGAGATAGTGTAGGTGGTGGTGTAATAAGTCACAGTTGTAGATTAAGAGCTGGAGTAAGTAGTAGTGTAATAAATCGCAGTTATAGAGTAAGAGGTGGTGTAAGTTGTGGTTTAATTGGCCACAATTGTAGAGAAAGAGATCGAGTAAGTGGTGGTGTAATTGGTCACAGTTGTAGACCTAGAGGAAGAGATGGTGTAAGTGGTGGTGTAATTAGTCACAGTTCTAGAGAAAGAGATCGAGTAAAAGGTGGTGTAATTAGTCACAGTTCTAGAGAAAGAGATCGAGTAAGGGGTGGTGTAATTTGTCACAACTGTAGAGTAAGAGATGGTGTAAGTGGTAGTGTAATTAGTGACACTTGTAGAATAAGAGCTGTTATATGTGGTAGTGTAATTGGTCTTAGTTGTAGAGTAAGAGATGTGGAAAGTGGTGATGCAATTAGTCACAGCTGTAGAGAAAACATGGAGTAAGTGGTGGTTTAATAAGTCACGGTTGTAGAGTAAGAGGTGTAGTAAATGGTGGTGAAATTAGTCACAGTTTTAGAGTAGGAGATGGTGTAAGTGGCGGTGAAATTACTCACAGCTCTAGATTAAAATTTGTAGTAAGTGGCGAAGTAAATAGCCACAGCTGGGGAGTAAGGGTGAAGTAAGTGGTGGTGTACTTATTCACAGTGGTAGAGTAAAGAATGGTATAAATGGTGTTGCAATTACCTACCATTATAGATTTAGAGGTGGCTTAACTGGTGGTTTAAGTACTTCACTGTTGTATAGTAAGAGATGGTGAAAGTGGTGGTGTAATTAGTCACAGTTGTAGATTGAGAGTTAGGGTAAGTGGCGGTGTAATAAGTCACAGTTGTAGAGTAAGAGGTCGGGTAAGTGGTGATGTAATAATTCACAGTCGTAGAGTAGGAGATGGTGAAAGTGGTGGCGTAATAACTCAGAGTTGTAGAGCAAGAGGTGGAGTAAGAGGTGGAGTAAGAGGTGGTATAATTACTAACAGTAGTAGAGTAAGAGGTTTGGTAACTGGTGGTGTAATTAGTCACAGTTGTAGAGTATGAAATGGAGTAAGTGGTGGTGTAATTGCTCACAGTTGCAGAGTAAGAGGTGGGGTAAGTTGTGGTTTAATAATTCACAGTTGTAGAGTAAGAGATGGTGTAGGTGGTGCAGAAATTAGTCATAGTTGTAGAGTGGAATAAATGGTGGTGTTTTTAGTCAGAATTGTAGATTAAGAGGTGTAGTAAGTTGTTCTGTAATTAGTCATAGTTTAAGAGGAAGATATGGTGGAAGTGGTGGTGTAATAAAACACTGTTGTAGAGTAACAGATGGTAAAAGTGGTGGTGTAATTCGCCACAGTTGTAGGAGTAAGTCATGGTGTAATAAATCACAGTTGTAAAGTAAGAGGTGGAGTAAGTAGTGGTATAATTAGTCATAGTTTTAGAGTAAGAGGTGGGGTAAGTGGTGAGGTAATAAGTCACAGTTAAAGAGCAAGAAGTGGAGTAAGTGGCGTTTTAATAAGTGACAGTTGTAGAGTAGCATATGGAGTAAGTTGTAATGCAATTATTCACAGCTGTAGAGTAAGATTTCTAGTAAGTGGTGGTGTAATCAGTCTTAGTTGTACAGTAAGAGGTAGAATAATATAAGTGGTGGTGGAATTAGTCACAGTTGTAGAGTAAGAGATGGAGTAAGTGGTAATGTAATAAGTCACAATTGTACAGAAGTAGCTGGAGTAAGTGGTGGTGTAATTAGTCACAGTTATAGAGAAAGAGGTTGAGGAATTGGCCGTTTAATTAGTCCAGTTGTAGAATAAGAGGTGTAGTAAGTTGTGGTATAATTAGTCACATTTGTAGAGTAAGAGGTGGAGTAGGTGGTGGTGATGTAATTCTTAACGGTTGTGGAGTAAGAGATGGTGTATCCTGATTTTGGTGTACGATTGATTAGTCACAGTTGTATATCTAGAGTAAGAGGAGGAGTAAGTGGTAGTGTAATTATTAACAGTTGTAGGGTTAGAGGTGGAATAAGTGGTGGTGGAATAAGTCACAGTTATAGAGTAAGAGGTGGTAAATGTTGTAAAGTATGAGGTGGAGTAAGTGTTGGTGTAATAAGTCAGAGTTGTAGAATAAGAGGTGGGGTAAGTGGTGGTGTAATTAGTCAGTTATAGAGAAAGGGTGGGATTAATTGACGGTTTAGTAAGTCCAGTTGTAGAGTAACAGGTGCAGTACGTGGTGGTGTAACAAGTCACAGTTGTACTGAAATAGGTGAATTTAGCGGTGGTGTAATAATTCACAGGTGTAGAGTATGAGGCGGAGTAAGTGGTGGTGTGATCAGTAACGAACAGTTGTGGAGGTGGAGTAAGTGGTAATGGAATGAGGTAAGAAGTGTAGTAAGGGAGAGTATTATGGTAAGATATTGAATAAGAAGGACAGTAGTGGAATTAGTGATTTTTGAAAAGTAAAAGTAGTTGTGGATTAACGACTAACAGATTTAAGAGACAGCGGTATTGATAAAGTTAAGTAAGAAAAGTGGCATGTTTAGCAGTGTTAGGGAAAGAGATGGCTTAGTTGTAGAGGTTCAGTATTGAGAAGCAATAGCAAATGATTTCAGGAAACGACAATGGAATTATTGTAGAAACTCTATATAACTATCGAAGAAATAATTGCAGATAAAAAGTTTTATTGATGTTTCAATTTAATCTATTTTTTGCAGGGCCTAAATAAAGACATTTCAGTGATGCGAGCTGTGGAGAGACAATTTACCAATACTTTGTAAATGTAGAAAAGCCATCAGTGCGCAGTTTGTGAAAGCCCACTAACCATGGTAACCGAGAATAGAGTAACTGACTTGCCTATGGTATAATAGCCTAGAACAACAATGAGTTTATTGGCAGCCAATAGCGGTTAAGAGACTACCATAGATACTGATGTTTTGTAAACTACTCTCCTGTTACGCCCCGGGTTGTGGGACACAAGATACAGTAGTAGCAGACACCGCGTGTAAGAAGCTAGTGGTTTGAGAACCTACCGGCAGAAATTTGCCATTTTAAAACCAAAAAATAGAAGAACCCGTTCAGCCAAGCTAGATCAAGCAGGTTCTTATATACGGGTTACAGTTCAATCATGATAAACCTTTTAACCAAGGAGTGTGACTTTGAGATTGCAAATTTATATTACAAGAAAATACAAAATACAGTAGAGAATAAATACTATATATTTAAGGATTAGGCCCAAGTTTATTCACTTTGTTTGTTTGTTTGTTTGTTTTTTTGTAGTCAACAACTATACCTCCTTCATAGAAATTAAGGACATTGTTAAGAATATACTTACAGAACCTATTTGGCCAGACTTAGAACAATAAGGGCTCTTACTCACGGGTTTTTGCTGTGCCACTATCCATTCTTGGGTTACGTTCTGGTGACGTTTTGGTTGTGCTCTTTGATTAAACTCTTCTGTTGTATCAAGTTTTGTCTGTCCTCTCGGTCTCCGAAGACTGTTTAGTGTGCTGTAACAGATCTAGCTAGATCTCTGCCTTCCCACAGCTAGCAAGTTGTCCCGTTCAGAAACGTGTTTTCTCGGGCCAAAAACCCATTATTTCAGAACTCCCTGGACAATTAACATTATTGGTAAAATTTGAAAACGACAAGAAGCGAAGAAAAAGAAAAAATGAGAATAAAAATGCCTGAAATTGCGAAATAATAAAAGTGCAAGTAATTATGAACGTTTGTTAAAAAGAATGTTAAATCTTATAACATGTTTTATTCTGGCTTAAGCCCTTCAATATTTTTAATATTTTCAATATTTTCAGCTTTCTTTCATGTTGAGACCACCAGGTAGTAAAAGATTATTCTCTGCCTGCCTAAGGCCCGGAATCAGCCAGTTTTTGTCACTATTACTCCGGCATAAGTCTTGATCATTTTGCCTTACTATTATGCTCAAACTAACGCCGGCATAATTTGTAAAACCCTAGATACAACTTAAGCGACAGTGGCAGAGTTGGTGTTTGCGGTTTTAGCTACAGATCTAGAAGACAGATGATAATAACTTCAACAACAATTTTTTTTTTCTAAATGCTTACATTTTGGAGGGTATCCTCACTGATCTAAGAGATCTGTGCACTCTGTGATCAGTGGACTACGCCCTAAGAGGAACCGATATGTATTAACTTACCTGAACCATCAAATTATGGCCTGAACTCTTTTAGTTCTTTAGATGTTATGTCCTTGAGATCCGTCGCCGAAAGAGCTGTCCTTCATGAAACAATTTCACCAAAGCAGACGCTGACTATGTAATTTTAACTAAGCCGTATTTTTGAGGAGGTGAATAAATTTGTATATATTTTTTTTCACTGTCTTTGTTGTTGTTGTTGTTGTTGTTGTTGTTGTTGTTGTTGTTTTGTTTGTAGTGAGCCTCATTACCCGATCGATTTTTTTTCTTTTTTTTTTTTTGGCCAAAGCCGTTTCACGTAAGGGAGACAAATGGCCTTTAAAACTCCTGAAGTAAATCATGTTATTATATGGCAAGGTAGTCTTGCTTGGGTATATTTGAACAATCTGATTGGTTCTTTCTTGGTCGGGATTTTGCCATTTACAAATTGATTTCCCGCTATTGTTTTCCGCTGGTGAGAGACTAGAAACTGGAAAATGTAGCAAATGATATTTTTAAAATCTTTAGTGAGGCAACCCTTGACGGTCAATGTTGAGACTTTATATAAAAGTGAATAATATAAACATATTTTACGTGCAACATGACACACCCGTCTACAGAGGAAACATTACATCATTCAATGCTTTGCTTAAATTCCCTTAGGGTTTGCACAAGTCGCATGCCTGAGTGTACTAAAATATATGACCTTGAACTTCACTCTCACGACGCTGCTCCCACCGGTGCCCGAGACGTTAATTCTCGCACGTACGATTTCAACCTATACGTCATAGTGGCGGTGTTGTTTGCTGGTGATAGATTAAGATTTGCA